AAAGGCATGTGAAACGAGTTAGTATCCGGCTGCCATCGCTCTACAAAAGCAGAAAGGAGTGGGGTGTCCAAGTGGGTGTGCATGGAGTCGACCAAATGTGACAGCCCGGTCTGGTCGAGAAGAGCTCCCGCATCGGAAGACATCTCTTCACGCCAAGCCTTTAGATTCTCGATCGCTCGCAGTCTGTTGTGGCATTTCAGCGGCCCCCTCAAATTCTCACTCCATATGCGGGAGGCGACGTGCCCAAGAAAGCTAGGGATGACACTCCCATCAATGGGCCCACCGGGCACTGGGCCTCTAACGATCCAAGGTGCATCTGTTAGTGTTATATACTGAAAGCTTGGCTTTGCATGTTATTACACATTTACCCTCTATGAATGAGAATCATGTTAGATTAAACAAGTTCTACGTTCTGTTGTTCTGCACTTAGATAGGGTGGGTCGTCATCGGGCGAACCGAAGATCACTCTATCAGTCACTTGCGAACAAGAATAGTTGTTCACAACCTAGATGGACATGAACACCCCATCCGAACGGTTGTAGTGTCAACTGTACAGTTTGTCTTGACTGATTAGTTGCACTAGTACATTTATGTATTGAACAGGATCCCAGAGAGGAGAAGTTCATTTTATACTGATTGTCATAAATGAACTAGGCCTCGGTTAATTACTGCGTTCTCTTAACCCGTAAGATATTAAACAGGCAGATATATATAATATATATTACTTTGATTCACATGGGTGAGGTTCAGTTCGCTGGATTAATATTCCTACTGTTTTGGGTAATATTATTATATATAGGATGTGCTGTTAGGATATTTACGGTCACCATGTGCGTTAGTTTGATGATGTCCCCGGAGTGAGTTCATGAAGGATTGTTATGCTAAACCCTGCAGGTGGATTAAATTCCGGCATAATAAGAATGTGATGAACGAGCGCTAGCTTCGGTGAAATAATAATAAATTAATTAATTCTTGATTGTCAGTAATCGAATTAATTAATGGACATTATATCTTAAACGTGGGGAGGTAAATCGAGTAATTATTATTGGAGTCTCAAATGTAATTTGGGCTAGGGAAAAGGAGTGCAATAATATAATGTTGGTGGCCCATTAATATTATTTAATTAATTAGAGGAGTGGGTTTAGCCCACAGTTAGTCTAATTAATTAAAGAGCCATTTTCCTAATCTCCTTAGGGTCCCTACTGTAGCTCTATATATACATCATTAAGCTCATGAGAAGAGAACAGAAGTCTCATTCTCACGTGAAACACGCCTCTCTCTCTAGATCTCATTCGAGCTTTATCTTCTTCTTGTTGCTCCACTGGTACAAGTTGAAGAAGGGTGTATTGAGTAATACAGTAGAAGATCTGTAGGTAAGTCCGATTGAGACGTACAGTATACCCAGACGACCGTCTCGACGAGAGCTTTCCATCTCCGCCGAGATCGCCGGAATCCGACGCCGGACGCGCCCTCACTTGCCGCCGGAAGCTCCCAGGCTGCAAGTTTCGTTTTGATCTGTTTGCATCCGTTTGATCCGATTTTGATCTGATCTTGTTCCTGCAACCCAAGACGCGTGTTGCGGTCAATCAATTGCGGTCAACCGTTCGTGGTCAACCAGATCTACATAAATTTTAAGCCGTAAGTTCTCTACGTCAAACCTTTAGATCCGCTGCGCATAGGTTTACGTTTGCTATTGAATTCGTGACTTGTACATAACGAGATCCTCACAGATCCCAACAGCATCATCATCGGTCCTAGTTCGTTTGCTAGTACCTGCATTAAAATACAACATATCTGTATATATTGACTTGCTGGCAGATGCATTAAATAAAATATATTTAATAAAACATATTTTATTAGTTACGTTACATTTACATTTTACGTTATTATTATAAGCATATATAATTTATAATTATTAATATTATTTTTTGAATTTATAATTAATTACAATTTATTCAACTTACCCTAAATTACAAAACAATTATACTGTAGTTGAGGAGCAGGCCGATAATACTTTTCTAACAGTACCGATAATTTGTTATGATTAAGTGAAAATAATTTAATTTATGTTAAACAACAATAAAGAAGTAAATTATTTACCTGATGAGGATGCAGATGAGCCAAAACGCCCCCCAGCCTGTCGTTGAGGAGCAGGCTGTGTGGGACGAACAGCATGTACCGGACGAACATGCTGTAGAACCGGTTGTACTGGACGAACTGGCTGTACAGTAGGACGAAGGTGGTTAGGACCCGTAGGCTGTGCGTGGTCCTGATCATCTGAAGAGTCGTCTGAGTCATAGTCCTCTGGACCCGGCTCCCTCTCGCCGTACGACTCATCATCAGCATACCCCTGCTGACCATAAGGTAATGGTACGCGTGCGCGGGGGGGTAACGACTTCCCTGCATAGCGGGGAAAAGCACATCCCGGCTGATCGTACGGTCCTGGTGCCGGGGGCATCGTCCTGCCCGCTTGGCCAGGATAATAAAATCCATGTTCGCCGTACGGGAGGGCTCCGTGGGGTCGCGAACTAGCTGGCTGGCCCTCAAAATGATATGGACCAGTGGGCACTGGTGCGGGGGGGCGGGAACTCTGGCTCGCCTGACGAAGCTGTACCCTACGAGCCTCATCGATCAACGCCTGCCTTTCCGTGTCCCTCATCGATCAACGCCTGCCTCTCGACGAACGGACGCATTGACACCCCGACTTCTAGTGTATCGGGTGCCAGAACCATCATAATAGTCATCGTACGCCTCGTCGTCGTCTCTGGCATTAGATTGTCCAGGTCTGCCAACACCCTGAATCAGAAATATAATTATTAGATTTTTTCAATGTAATGATTATTGTAATAACTATTAAAATAGATTATAATTCATTTTTCTTTTCATATATAAATTTTATTAATTATTATTATAATTATAATTATTGAGATTTATAATAGTTATTATAATTTTTTAGTTCAATTATTATAATTAACATTAATTTATAATTATAATTATATTTAATTATAATTATCATTACAAATTATAATTATTATTTCTTATAATATTATTATTATAAGCATATATAATTTATANNANNAANANNA